GTTAGGCAAAGGCGCTCACTTGGGTTTTGGACAGGGTGCTTTCCTGACACCACCACCACTCTGTACAACGTATCTGAGCAGCAATTATTAACTACCTAGCCACAGATGTTATGTCCTGACAGCATGGGTGGATCTGGAGCAAAAACACCAATAAATAGGCATTTCCTACCAAACCTTAAATACAAAAGGTACATATAGAAAGGAGTAAACCAGACTTGAATTGAATTTCCCTCTTGAGGCTGCCACCTCCAAAGATGCTGCTGTACCACACAGGTGGAGTCTGCCAGTACCTTGGGCTTCTTGGGGGTGTCAGCACATCAAAGTCCTTGAGGATGCCTGGGCCTTGTTCACAGGTGGATCAGCTAAGTTAAAGGCCAATGGGAGGTACTAGGCTGCTGTGATTGTCCAGTTNCAGGTGGATCAGCTAAGTTAAAGGCCAATGGGAGGTACTAGGCTGCTGTGATTGTCCAGTTCCAGCGATGACTGTTTAAAACTTTACCTGCGTAAAGGGATTCCACTTCATTAGCCTTTCCATGTTCAACCAGTGCCCAACAACAAGCCAGGGTCTAGGGATGTAAAATGGCTTTGTTTTCTTCCAGTATACCTCAAATAATAAAGTATACTTTATTTATAATTCAAAAATATTTTTATAAAACCACTTTATTTTCGTTATTTTAAATTTTTGTTAATTTATTTTTATTGTGGTAAAGGATGTATAACATAAGGATTGCAATTTTAAACATTTTTAAACATACAACTGCATGGAATTAATTACATTTACAATGCTGTGTGACTACCANGCTAAAGAAAGCCATCAGGAGAGGAAAGCCTGAGCCGACAGATGGATATCTGGCTAGAGCTCTCTGAAGATGTAAGGTAAGGCCAAATGGTATTGGGCAGACCACAAACTGTTCTCTGCTCTGATTTTTCAAGGTGGTAACTGAACATAATTTCTCAAACTCTTAATATATTTTAAGATTTCTAATTATAGTCTCAATTTTTAAAATATTTCTTAATTAGTTTAATTTCCTAGTTATGTTTCATTATTGTTTAAAATGCATTCTAAGAAATTATGCATTTTTAATTTCTTAGAATTATTTGCATGCAGCTGTTTATAACACCATTTGTTTATCTTTTTTTTTGCTTTGACATTTGTTTTGAACTTCCTATTTTTATTCCTGATATTATTTGGATCATCTCACTTATTCTTTGACCAATTTCAGCAGGGATTTATCAATATCCCTTATTTTNCAGGTGGATCAGCTAAGTTAAAGGCCAATGGGAGGTACTAGGCTGCTGTGATTGTCCAGTTGCAGCGATGACTGTTTAAAACTTTACCTGCATGAAGGGATTCCACTTTATTAGCCTTTCCATGTTCAACCAGTGCCCAACAACAAGCCAGGGTCTAGGGATGTAAAATGGCTTTGTTTTCTTCCAGTATACCTCAAATAATAAAGTATACTTTATTTATAATTCAAAAATATTTTTATAAAACCACTTTATTTTCATTATTTTAAATTTTTGTTATTTTATTTTTATTGTGGTAAAGGATGTATAACATAAGGATTGCAATTTTAACATTTTTAAACATACAACTGCATGGAATTAATTACATTTACAATGCTGTGTGACTACCACCTCTATCAATTTCCAAAACTTTTTCATCTTGAGGTTGACATGCACGGCAACTAGAAATCAAACACTGTTGTTGAGTTATTTCAGAGGGCTAGAAGAGTTGGAAAAGATTATTATTAATATATCTCCTATGTTCTTTTTTTCTCTTTTCTTGTTTTTTTGGATTTATTATTTTGTTATTCTATTATATCAGCTCTATTATCTTGGTAATTATACGTTCTTTTGCTTTTCTCTTAATGGTTCCTGTCTTAAGTTGGGTTCCTCCAAGAGCAAGAAGCTGAGACAACAATTAGTGCACAAGTAGTTTATTTAGGAGGTGAAAGAACATTGGTAGAGGAGTGGCAGGTAAAGTGAGACAGAGAAGAGAATGCTGATAATGAGGGTGTGAAATCCAAGTAAGGCACCACTGTAGAGAAGCAGAGTTTAGAGCCTTAGAGTGACGCCATCCAAAGAGCAAAGCTGCTGCGATATTTATACTCCTGACTCTTGTCTGTTATTGTTTGGGGACAGCTCCAGGGACGTGCTGATTCCACAGCAGTTTTGGCTGCTTTGCACATGAGTAAAATGAGCTTCAGCGGCTAAAGAAAGCCATCAGGAGAGGAAAGCCTGAGCCGACAGATGGATATCTGGCTAGAGCT